ACAGCAACAGAGACAGTATAATTCTTTTTATATCAATGTTTAATTTTCCCTGATTTTTATAATAATGTGTTTGCTGATCTCTATAATAATGTAGTAGCAATTGAGGTCGGACTCAGGGTATTTATATTGCTTTTTTTAGACAAAACAAACAAAGGAGAAAAAAAAGAAAACCTTCCAGTTTTACTGAGGCAAGAATCCTGATTTATTATCAAAAAGACATAGGAATCCCAAGTCTATCACATATAGCATCTCAGTTTTCTCACCTGCAGAAAGGCAACACAGAAGGTTCTCTCAGGTTATTCTGAGGAGTAAATGAGAAAATATGTAGATTTGAGTACATGGTTGGGGCTCAGGGACCAATGGTTCCTTTCTTTGATTCGTCTGGAAAATTAATGACTCAGTCACAAATCCGTCTTTCCCATCTACAGTGGTTGGCTCTCTCCTTGGCCGTGTTAGGTATTTTTCTTCATCGGCCAGCTTTTAAGTTTGTGAGCAGGGTTCTGTCACTTGGAGAGTGTCTTTGAAAAGCAAACTGGACCAGGAAACACACACACCAGTAACTGGATGAGTAATCCTCTAATCCAGGGACAACCGTTCCATCAGCATCTGAAACATAAACACAAGCAGAAGACTCCTCTGCAGCGGGAGAGCTTGGATAAACACGCTGGCCCCCTCCTCCCTCCACTCTGCATCCCCTCCTGCCTGTTTTCCGGCAGCCTGCGAAGTTCAACTGTCTCTCAGCTGCAGAGTCAGTGCCTTGTGAGTCCCATAGCCATGCCCCAACCTTGCCTCTCGGAGCTTAAATCTCCTTCTGTGGCAGAACTTGAGCCTTCTGTGAGCAGACCAGGACCACTAAAGCACTTCACCAAGCAGAGGACACAGCATCACCTAGAGCCCCCTATCTGGCCCTGGGGACCCAACCACTGTTAACCAGCGCTTTGCACAAGCTGCTTTTTTTTTTTTTTACATCTTTATTGGAGTATAATTGCTTTACAATGGTGTGTTGGTTTCTGCTTTATAACAAAGTGAATCAGGTATACATATACATATGTTCCCATATCTCTTCCCTCTTGCGTCTCCCTCCCTCCCACCCTCCCTATCCCACCCCTCCAGGCGATCACAAAGCACCTTTTAATAGCTCCTTCGCCAAGGCCGTCTGTGTCTCCTGTTCCTGTCACCTCCTCAGGCCAGTTCTCTGAGCCTTTTATCTGATGGCTTTGCCCCGGGATGGCTATTCGTTTCCACCCCATCCCTCCTGCCATCAGTGACTGGGGTCAGGAGGTGGCCCCGGTTTTCGAGTAGTTTTCTCTGCTGGAAGTGAACTGGGTCCTCCGGGAATTGAACCCGTGACCTCTCCCGCATCAGCACCGGACTTCAGTCATGTGAACTAACCACCCCAGACGGACTCACCGCACTTCTATCCTGTGTTCTGCAAGTTTTGAAAGTTGCAGAGTTCAGAGCCCTTCTCCCACATAAAGTTCACTCCCACACCCTCTTCTGTGGCGATTTGGGGAGCTGTGGGATTTTTTATTAAATTGTCAATGCTAGGCAGAACATGGAAAAAGAAGTGGGTGGGTCTGTGCCTAGGCACAGAAGGGGAACGTCCCGAGAGCAGGGGGTCTGTCCCCAGTGGAGCTCGGAGTAGCAGGGAGGGAACGTGTGTGTCTCCTTCAGAATTCAAGAGCCTGCAGCTGGAAAGGCAGCCACTGCCACCAGCAGAGCGTATCCTGCCCTCCAAGGATCAGGGCTTTCCAGTACCCGCGGGAATGCCTTTCCTTCTTTCTGCAGGAAATGGGCTACATTAGGCACAGCTTGTTAAATGTGTGACCGATCAGCTTGACGCTAGACTTCTTGGGGCTCCAGGCCCGCACGGTGGCCGATAAACCAGCTCCAAGCACGAGCGGCCCGTTCCCAGCTCTAGGTCACCGGTTCAGGGGTCGGCCACACTCTTTCTGAGGCCGGCCTGAGCCACAGGACTCGGGCAGGATGCGAGGGCATCGTGACTCCAGACCCCGGCCTGCAGCCCGTGTCGGGATTCCATGCTAGTCCGGCAGGGGAGGCTGCTCAGCCCTCTCACCCCGTGTCTAATGAAAGACTGACCCGCTCTGCCTTTTCTTACGACAAATTATATATCAGAAGACAGGAGATTTCAAAATCAATTCAAGATTAATTCAGGGACGACTGTGCATGGAATTATTTGGCCAACAGATGAAAAATGAAATGTTCACTACAAAGAGGGAAGAGAGTAGAAGTGTCAAATTTTAATCCCATTTCCCATGAAGAATTACCAAGTCCCAAGACTCTTCTTGAAACTCCGATTAACCATCCAAACACCAGCCTTATCCACACCTTCCATGAGCAGAAGCCAGGGTGCCACTGGTGTTTGGTAAAGTATTCGTGTTTGGGGGCAGAATAAAACTAATTAGCTCTGTACTGAGCGTTAAGGGGAAAAAACAAAACAAAACAATAACCAGAGTGAGTATTGTATCCTGATGGAGGAAAACTTTTTACTCTTTTCAGTAAATGAGAAATAAATAAAAAAACAGAAAACTGTTTCATTTGAAGTTCTGTTAAAGTTTAACATCAGCTGGAACAACACAGACCTCACAGTCCCGTTAAATCAATAAGAAAGTAGCAAATCAAGGAAATTCCACCTTGTAAATCTGAAGGCATTTTTGGTGGTGGCGGTATTATGGCTGAATACAGTTAAAACACACACACACCAAAGGAATCTTCTAGAATTAGGTCCTAACTTCAAATGGTGTTGTGTCTTGGAGAAAAATAAACATTTTTAAGAAAGCTGTGTTCCCCATCTAAGGCGCATGCTGCACAAATAATACATCATGCAATAAAATCGCCCCGGAGAGGTTGTGCTCTACTTTGAAATATTAAAAGCTGAACTTTCTCTGCACATCTCTTAGTTTCAAAACACAGAATGCATCTGGGCAGCTTTCTATGGCTTGGTTTCCTTCCCCCTCCAGCGTTCTACAAGAATGCACATTTGAGGGAGGATATACATGAAGAAGTAGGCTAACCTTCAGTAATGCATTTTGCTTAATGCCTTATTTGGTCTGGTCACTTCCTGAAAACTACGTGATACCTTATTTTCAAAGCCCTGGGGGGGGGGGGGAAATCAAGCGAATTACAGTGGAACTTTGAAAGAAATGGAATGCAATGTAATTGAACATGCTTTCAGGGCAGTACACAGTACATTAAAAGGCCCAGTGATTAGGGAACTAGCAGTGAACCCTCACACAAGGGCTGTGTGCAAATTAGGTTGGGCCACCGTCAGTGAGGATGGAAATTCTGCCAGATCAGGTGTTTTCACCTTGCGGGAAAGAGTCCCCGTTCACACAGAGCTCCCCTCCTGGTCCATCTTGCACATCCCTATTACTGGTACCTCATTAAAGGAAACCAGTTAAAAGGGACTCCTGTGGCTGATGGCCATTTTTTTTTTTTTGATGAAACATCAAACTTGATGTTGAAGCAATTTTTGTAGTTTCTATCTTCTGAAAGCAAGAAAATGTGGTTAACTGAACCGTGACCTTAATTTGTAGAATATATGAAGACAGAGGAAGGAGAAGCAGGAGATAGATAGGATGCTTTCATGCATATAAGTGATCAGGGTTGAGCTTATACTTCCTTGTTTGATTGTGGTGATTTTAATTTTTTTCACACTCATATTTTCAAAATGGGGTAGGAGATTGAAAATCACATAGCCTGACAGTTGTTAATGTTTTAAGACCCCTTTACTCCCAACACAGAAAAGATAAAACAGGAAGTGATCTCGCTATGGTGCCTTGTGAAAACCTGGGATTCAACAGAAGAGAGTGTCAAGACCAGCCTGATCATTCTGTCAAGGGATGCTCTGCACATCCAGAGCAGTGCAGTGATTCTCCCCCGGTTAGGACTAAGCTGTGTCTCTGCATCTCTTCCCTGAGATGGGAGCACAGGAAGAGGAATAGGTGTTGTGAAGAGGAAAGACAGCATTCTGTCTGGGATCTATGGAATTTGAAGTGTCTTTGAGATGTCGGTCAATCACCTGCCTAATCACGGAGTGAACATAAGAGCCAAAGGCTTAGGAGAGATGGAGTAGGCGGCCCATCGGCTCATGGATGGTAAATGAAGTCAGCTGAGTACAAGACAACCACTCAGGAGGAGTGTGTTTGGAGAAAGAAAATGAGTGAAAGTGGAAACCCAGAATATATTTCAGAGTGTAATGTCCTGGCAGAGAGGAAAACAAAGCCCAGGATAGAGTAACCAAAAGTCAGTATAGGAATCAGAAGTGCGTGGAATCAAAGAAGCTGGGCAGAACATGTTCAAGAAGGAGCCGGAATGAAGGGAGAAGGTCAGCTTGCAGGAGGAGACCCCAGCCCCACAGGGGCAGGAGGGCCAGCTCATCCTGACCTGTGGGAAGCAGCAGTGACACCTTCTTCACTTGAATAACAAGGATGCTGTTTGAGTTTGGTGTTTACCTGGCTTTGAGGTAAGGTGGCTGCATGTCATGCATCCTCAGACTTTCAAATTTTGGCTGCTTCCAAATTGAAACAATCCAAGAATTCTGACCATTTTTATAAGATATAGACGGTGCTAATATGAAATGTCGAGCTCCAAAGGGAAGGACCACCTGAGATTTTTTTTCTCAGTTCCTAGCAACATCATAATGTGGAGAACACAGGAGGTGTGTAGTTTGCGAAATGAAGGAATTTCTTCCTTCTTCTCCAGGGGATGTGCATTGCTGTTCCAAACAAGCTGCAAGTGCTTTGAAGGGAGAAAGTAACGAAAAGAGTTATTTTTATGATGCCCACGAACAAGGGATCCCTAAATCCTTTTAATCTAATGTATGGTTCATTCAGAATAATTGATGATAACACATCCTCTAGGTTGAAGCAACAAACAAACCATCTCAAAGATAGGATCTGTGATTATTATTAGATGATGAAACCTCCCAGGTGCCGCCTTCCAGCAACTCCCCAACTACCCTGAGGTGTGACGTTCACATTGGGGATCTCCCCACAGCCAACAGGCCTCAGACAAAAGGGGCCATGGAAACCAGTTGTCTTAACATCCTGCAACCTGGGGCACCTTCACATCCAGGCTTCTGCTGCCCCGGCCTATGCAGTTTTCTGGAAAACACGAATGACATGATGTTTATGAAAACTATTATTGGTAATGGTTAGTGGAAAGAGCACGGGATTGAGAGTAAGAAGACCCAGGTTTGAATCCCCATTTCACCCAGAGATGTGAAATCCAGCAAGTCCAATCATCTCTTGGCGATGTCGTTTAGATTTTTATTAATGGCGATGATCATACCTATTTCTTGATGTATTTGTGAGGATCTACTATGTCAATGTGTAAGGAAATTCTTTTTAAGTGGTAAATTCTAGTGGTGTCCCCAAATCTCAACGAGGAGTTTAAAATCTCACTTCCCCCACCCGTCACGGTAAAAGGGGGCTCTCTGAGACGTATTTCAGTCCAGAGGGAATGCAGTGTGTTCATGGTGCTAAAAACAGAATATGTGGTGAGAAAGATAAAGGTATTTCAAGTCTATCTTGCACTAGAAATTCACATGGTAGATTGCTCCTCTCTCTTGTGAAACGTGTCCTTTCTTCTTGCTTCTCTGGGATTTCTTCTGCTTGGAAGAAATGAGGAGAACTGAAAAAGAGAATGGGGGCCAGGGCTGGGTTCAGGAGAGAGAAGGCTGGAAGAGGTTCCATGGTGCAGATGGCCAGCTGATCCCCTGCATTCATCATCCCTTTCCATAATAGACACCTAACTAGGATCTACTTTTCCCAGCCTGCCTTGCAATTGGCCCCTTTGGCTATTTTCCCACAAGGGGATGTAGCTGACATGAAAGTGCCACCAGAAGTGGCCAGGGCTTCCAGAAGTCCATGAGCCTCGTCCAGGCTTCTGACCCCCTTTGCCAGCTAGATGCCGGTGACAGTGATCATTCACATGGAAGAAGCCTGAGTCTCTGAGTACCTTCAAGGAAAAAACCCACCCCAACCAGGAGCATACATATTGGAGAATTACATGGACAAGGGATACGCTTTTATTTTCACCCTTATATATTTTGGGTCTATATGTTAGCCTAGCCTAGCTAATTTCTAGTTTCTGTCCTGAGGTAGAGGGACAAAACTAATTTATTGGGCTCACATATATTGCAGACCAATTTAAGAGTATAGGGTTTTCAGCAGAGATTCAGGACCAAAGACTTTACAAATTATAGAGCATCTATTTTCTGGTACCTTCTCTTTTATCTTTTGCATATTTAACTGAGTGACCAAAGCAGTTACTGGAGCCAAAATGGTCAGCTGTTGTTTTGTGCCTAGGATTTGTGCTGCCTGCTACCATCACACCTGCTCTGGTTAAGACAACGTGGCTCCATGTTACAAAGACACACTCAGGGTAGCCCAAGGACATCAAAACTATGGCACAGATAATGAAGGATGTAGCCACAGCACCTGAGCTTCCTGGAATTTGGAACTGAACCTGAATTAAGGGGGCAATGTGGACTTATTTTATGCCATATCGGTTTCTCTCTGCACATGTGCTCTTTCTACCAAATATCGTCCCTTACTCACTTATCATTCCTTCTCTTCCATAATTTAGCACATGGAAGCCATTTTCTCTCAAGCTTTGACTTCATGTGACCTTTTGGCTGTAACACCCAACCGGTAACAGATAACTTTGTTCTTTTTTTTACATCAAGTTCCTAAGAACTGCTCTTTTTGTTTTTCTTTTTAAATTAGACCATGGGACACGGTTAGGTCTTGGGATCCTTCCTCCCCCACCAGTCTAGTCAGACATTTGGTATTTGAAAAATGGCTTTTGGGGGCAGCAGCAATTAGGTGAAAAGCAGATGTTATCCAAGAGGAATGTGAAATGACAGCTTGTGATTGGCATCTTTGACACAAACAGCCAACAATAAAGTGCTAAATAAAATTGGCTCTTCTTACATATTACAAATATAAATATACATAAAATAATTTTATACCAACTAGGTTTTAGGCACTGTGTTAAGATGTTTAGAAAACAAATTATAAGATTGCCCTTATTTTTGTCAGTTAACAGTTTATTGTCTTTGGGGGGGTGTTAAAGCATGCACATAAATAATAATGATAATAATAATAAACCTGTAAATAGACCTAATCCTTAATGACAAAACTACTTTCTAGTATCTCTGTGTTAGGACAGAAAGAGCATCACCCTTCAAGTTCAGCTTCTGGTCCTAGGACAATGGGCCAACTGGTCCTTAGTTTCCTCCTCCATGAAATAGGGATGTCAGTACCTACCTTATTCATAAAGATGCTCTGAGAATAAAGTGGGATGATACTTTGAAAGTTAAAGCCATTATCCCAGTGGCTGGCTGTGGTCAGGGATCATATCACATCCACCACTAAATCAATAGTACCTAACACAGGGACCGACACATAGCAGGCACACAATAAATATCAGATCTTTTGGGTTTTTCTCCTCCCCCTTTACATTCTACGTTTTATTATTAATTCCTCCTAAAAGAACATTGCCTTTTTCTTGAATTTTACTGAATTGCTGACACATATGTGGCTGATATCACCGAGATCCGTCCCTACTCTGGCCAAACCTCACCAGTGCATTTCATTATGCACTTTTGTGTACATCTTCATATCGTATATGTCTTTGCTAAAATTCATCCTGTATCCTTAACTGGCTATTTTCTAACTAGTCTTATTACACAATTTGAAGTTATTGTTATCCTCTAAATAAGCACTTTCGAGTACAACTTTCTGGGGTGACATTCTGGGATGTTCTGTTTATGTACAGTCCAATATCGTTGTTGAATGTGTGACTACTGACCACTTGAAATGCTGGTGTCACAGAGAAATACATTTTTAATTTAATTTGATTTAAGTTTAAATACTCATATGTGACTAGTGACTGCCATATTGGACAGGACAACTTTACATGATTAAAAGCCCTACTTAATTAGATATAACCTATTCTTATCTTTTCTACCCAGATCATCCAAAGAGATATTTAACTGGATAAGTAACAGGGCAAATTCCAAGGAAAGCCACTCAGTATATCCTATTTGCTGTTACCTCCTCTCAAATTAACTTTAACCATCACACTAACCCCAGGCTGGGAATCAACCTTCCAACCACAGTGGCAAAGCAGAGCAACATCTTTTCGGATCCAAAGAGTCTGGCAGCATTGGGTAATCTACACATGGACCACTCTACCATTCAATATGACATTCCTCAAAACTGGAGCTGAAGATCCACCAGAGGGCAGACAGTAGAAGCAAGAAGAATTACAATTCTGCAGCCTGTGGAAGGAAAACCACATTCATAGAAAGACAGACAAAATGAAAAGGCAGAGGACTTTGTACCAGATGAAGGAACAAGATAAAACCCCAGAAAAACAACTAAATGAAGTGGAGATAAGCATCCTTTCAGAAAAAGAATTCAGAATAATGATAGTGAAGATGATCCAGGACCTCAGAAAAAGAATGGAGGAAAAGATCGAGAAGATGCAAGAAATGTTTAACAAAGACCTAGAAGAATTAAAGAACAAACACCTAGAAGAATTAAAGAACAAACAAACAGAGATGAACCATACAATTGAAATGAAAAATACACTAGAGGTAATCAATAGCAGAATAACTGAGGCAGAAGAACAGATAAGTGACCTGGAAGACAGAATGGTGGACTTCACTGCTGTGGAACAGAATAAAGAAAAAAGAATGAAAAGAAAGATGAAGACAGCCTAAGAGACCTCTAGGACAACATTAAACACAACAATATTCACATTATAAGGGTCGCAGAAGGAGAACAGAGAGAAAAAGGTCCCAAGAAAATATTTGAAGAGATTATAGTTGAAAACTTCCCTAACATGGGAAAGGAAATAGCCACCCCGGTCCAGGAAGCACAGGGAGTCCCAGGAGAAACACGCCAAGACACATAGTAATCAAACTGACAAAAATTAAAGACAAAGAAAAATTATTGCAAGCAACAAGAGAAAAATGGCAAATAATATGCAAGGGAACTCCCATAAGGTTAACAGCTGATTTCTCAGCAGAAACTCTACAAGCCAGAAGGGAGTGGCATGATATATTTAAAATGATGAAAGGGAAGAACCTACAACCAAGATTACTCTACCCGGCAAGGATGTCATTCAGATTCGACAGAGAAATCAAAAGCTTTGCAGACAAGCAAAATCTGAGCGAATTCAACACAACAAAACCAGCTCTACAGCAAATGTGAAAGGAACTTCTCGAAGTGCAAAACACAAGAGAAGAAAAGGATCTACAAAAACAAACTCATAACAATTGAGAAATTGGTAATAGGAGCATACATATTAATAATTACCTTAAATGTGAATGGATTAAATGCTCCAACCAAAAGACACAGGCTCACTGAATGGATACAAAAACAAGACCCATATATATGGGACCCACTATAAGAGACCCACTTCAGACCTAGGGACACATACAGACTGAAAGTGAGGGGATGGAAAAAGATATTCCATGCAAATGGAAATCAAAAGAAAGCTGGAGTAGCAATACTCATATCAGATAAAATAGACTTTAAAATTAAGAATGTTACAAGAGACAAGGAAGCACACTGCATAATGATCATGAGATCAATCCAAGAAGAAGATATAACAATTATAAATATATATGCACCCAACATAGGAGCACCTCAATACATAAGGCAACTGCTAACAGCTATAAAAGAGGAAATCGACAGTAACATAATAATAGTGGGCGACTTTAATACCTCACTTACACCAACAGACAGATCATCCAGACATAAAATTAATAAGGAAACACAAGCTTTAAATGAGACAATAGACCAGATAGATTTAATTGATATATATAGGACATCCCATCCAAAAACAGCAGATTACACTTTCTTCTCAAGTGCACACAGAACATTCTCCAGGATAAGTCACATATTGGGTCACAAATCAAGCCTCAGTAAATTTAAGAAAATTGAAATTATATCAAACATCTTTTCCAACCACAATGCTATGAGATTAGAAATCAATTACAGGGAAAAAAACGTAAAAAACACAAATACATGGAGGCGAAACAATACATTACTAAATAACCAAGAGATCACTGAAGAAATCAAAGAGG